GCTACCGCCTTCTCCAGGATTTTTGATAAAAATGGTAGTTTGGAGATCGGTCTGTAGCTTTCGGGCAGAGTCTAAATTAGGCTTTTTTAACAAAGGACAGACAACAGCTGTTTTGAAGCAGTGGGGTACAATGCCAGAATCAAGGGAGTAATTTATCAGTTTTACAACACTTGGGCCAATACAGTTAAAAAATATGTTTAAAAAGAGAAGAGGGCAGGACATCAAGGGGGCTTGAGGACATTTTCATTCGACCCAAMAGTTCTGTGATGTCCTGAATTGTCACTGGTGTGAATGAGGACCATGTATCAGAGGTCACAGGAGGAGGGACCAGACAGAGGGATGGTGAGGGAGAGATACAGGCCCTGATGCCGGCAACTTTGTCAATAAAATAATTTAAAAAACGATTGCAATCTGCATTTGTAAAAGCACTTACAGTAGAAAAAGTAGGTGAAGCAATGTTCTTGATTGTGTCAAATAAATTTTTTGGATTTCTTCCTTTGAATTTGATGAGATTTGCAAAATAATTGGTCCTGGCAGTTTTGAGCATCTCATTTAAGGAGCTGATCAGTTCTTTAAGATAGAGCCTGTGACCTCCAGCATGGTTCTTTTCCACTGACGCTCAGTCTTACGGCAAACTCTCCTCAAGCTAAGGATTTCCTCATTAATCCAAGGACAGTTTGTGCGCTGCACAGTGCTCTGTTTTACAGGTGCTATAGTATCTAAAATATTTGTACAATGAGCATTAAAACGTGAAACATATGAGTCCACATTAATTATGTTATAATCTAAAGAGGCAGAATCAAAAAGTGAAGTAAAGGCTTCAGAAGTGTGCTCATTTATGATCCGCCTTTGGATCATAAGTCTAGGAGGAGCTGGATCAGGACTAAAAGATACATTAAAATATATACAATTATGATCACTTAAAAATATATCCTCCACACAAACATCCTCTATATTAAGGCCTAAGGGGAAAACAAGGTCCAATGTATGGCCTTTTTTATGAGTAGGCACACACACATGCTGAGTAAAATGAAATGAGTCCGTGATGGAGATCAAGTCAGCAGCTGCCTCACAGGAAACATCATCAATATGTAGATATGATGTAAATATGAGTGTCTCAGGTAGGACAGAGTATCTCAGGTAGAACAGAGTGTCTCAGGTAGGACAGAGGGTCTCAGGTAGGACAGAGGGTCTCAGGTAGGACAAAGTGTCTCAGGTAGGACAGAGGGTCTCAGGTAGGACAGAGGGTCTCAGGTAAGAGATGGAGGTGAAGGGCAGGTGTGAAGGAAATATACAATGTTGTTTTGAGTACATTCTAGTCAGCTGTGTGAACTTAATGAAATAAATTACTGATATAAAGGCATAACCTAGCATGCTTAACAATTTATTTTGACCATTATAAAAGTGATAGGCTTTTTTAACTTTTAATTTTAGGAAGTGGTAGAAATTTGTTTTCATAATTGGGATTTTCCCGGTTAAATAAAGGTCAGTAAATAAATCTGTCAATCATCCATCATTAGCGTTCTAATCAGTTCCAAACTTCCACATATCAATCTTATAAATAAATGTAAAAACCTCCTCTAAGCTTGTTTGGGATAATTTGTCACATTAATTTAATTATCTGAGTTATAACTGAATTTAAAAACATGACAAATGCAACAAGTTTAATGAAGAATCTGTCTCCAGTCATTAAATCAGGTATTTATTTATGTAGGTAAAAGTATCTTCAACAACCTGTTAAAATACATTAGAAATCAGGAAATAGCTTCTAATTTATACAAAATTTTCTGGGGGAGGACCCCCAGACCCCCTCCAGTGTGTCCTTTACACACACATTATAAGACTTATGTGAGAGGATAAACCAACACACCTGTGCTCCACCTGTGTGTCTCTGTATAGCTTGGCTGATTGTCAAACTGTATTCTTAGTGAGTTTAAAGGGCTGGTACAGTACACGGCTGAATGAAGGTGAACATAATCTCAGTTAATATGGTTTGACTATTATTGCATCACAACAGAAACATTTGGTGTTCAGTTATTGACGGGTGCAGACAGTTAAACTGAGCACACACTGAAGACATGAACAGAAAAYCCTGGTCGCACAACTGTGGGTGCGTCAGACCCCGTCCCCCACGGTGCGTCCCCACCAACTTTCAGCACAAAGTTACGCCCTTGCCTGAATATACTGAATGATCAGGTTATTCTACCAATGGATTGTTTCTTCCCTGATGGTMCAACCTTATTCCAAGATGACGATACCAGGAGTGGTTCAGGGAGCATGAGACATCATTTCCACACATGGATTGGCTCCACAGAGTCCACTGAGAATCTTTGAGCTGTGCTGGAGAAGGCTTTGTTCAGCGGTCAGACTCTACCATCATTAATGCAAGATCTTGGTGGAAAATTCATGCCACCCTGTGATGGAAATAAATCTTGAGGCATTGCAGAAGCTTATTAAAACAATGCCACAGCAAATGCGTGACGTAATCAAAGCTAAAGGCATTAAGCAAAATATTAGTGTGAATTTTTTTTTTTAATGGCAACTTTTGGCCAGGCAGTGTGTACGCATTTGCATATCGTCAAAAAAACACGCCTTCAAAAACTATTTGTAAATTTCATTGTTAAAGCTTACATTTGTGACACAGTTTGATGCTAATCATTCTTTATTTCAAAGTACAAATGTATATAAAAACACACCAACAAATAAATTCAAGGCACAAAAATTACAGATTTTTAAACAATTGACTGAAATATCTAAACTGAGTTCCAGCCTTGGTGTTTTAGTAACGTCATACAGTTTAAATGTAAAACTGATCTGAGACCATTATTACCTGATACTGTCTGCAGCAAAGACACTTGCACTGCCAGAATACTATCTTTGCATTTTAAAAATAATTCTAAATAAACAGGTTAAACATGTCCTGTGTTTCAGCCTGAAAGAAGAGTCCCTCCTAACCATCTGACCTCTGCTGTAGACTCTCCAGCAAGGCCAAGACAGAGCTGCTGTGCTCCACATTCACATAAATGAGGTAGAGGATGAACATCAAAGTGAAGAAGACCATAATCTGAATCTGGAACGGAACAAGACGGCGCTCCACCTCTCGTCTCTCCTGGGTTAGAGGACTGACGGGAGTGTCGGGGTACGGGTACTGGACGGGTCTCTGAGCTGCACCTTTGATGGGTCTTCGGGGAGTGGCACTGAGGTTTAGCAAAAAAAAAGATGAGACAATACAAATTGCATCCTCAATGTAGTTAGGCTGTACTACACAAGCACACATTCATACAGAGTTCAGTTTGTGCATTGGGACCATGATCGGGGTTTTGACACGTACTAAATCCCTGTTGGCGAGGTCTGAGTGTTTGGGAAGATATCCTTTAAAATATCAGCCACTGGTTGCTGATGAACCTAGAAAAGATGGTAAAGGTTACTGTGGAAATAGATATACATTATAGAAAAGGAAACATTTCCTGAACAGTAGAAGCAGAAACAGAAAACGAGATAGAAAATACAAACAATTCCAGCTCCCAGTTCTACTGCAATGTGCTTTAAAAATCAGTGAACCCCACATTAATGGCAGGTGCATAGTCACATTAAATAAAGGTTTTCCCCTCTCTAATATGTAACGTCATTTAGTTTGTTAAAGAGATCATCTGACTTTCTATGTATTTGTGCAAAAACAAAGTTTCTTAAAGAATGTTTTAAGAACAGATTGCCAACAAAAATCAAGATATTTCAAAAATAGTGCTAGTCATGTCAAAATAATTAGGGATCTGAGCAATTTATAACTTAATACTCAATGGCTCTTTGTGTACTTTCAGTAAATATTTGACAAGAAAATACTTGTCAGATGTTTCAACAAAAGAATTCAATATTGATAAATTACCAATAAAATAAAAAGTATGCTCAATTATTCACATTTGAAGGCTGGAACATTCCAAAGTGTACACACAAAAAAGCGTCCATTTCATATAGCTGTCTAAATATCACTGATACTGAATACATTTACACACAAATTTCGAATTTTATTTAATTTTATTTTTAAATTAAATGAAAGTTTTTGCAATGAAAACCTTGCATCAGGATTTTTCTTTACTTTTGTGAACCATCACTGCTCATTTCCCTAAAAACTCAATTATAGATGATAATGTTTACCAGTCACTTCTAAAGCTTTTATTTATTGGCCAAATATCACATTTTTATACAACTGAAAAGATTTTTAAGCTCTAAATGAATATTTGTTTAAAGCTTCACTTTTCATAATTAGAATTTTGCATTTTATCATTTCCAACACATGTTTTAAAGACAACCCTTAAAGATGATTAACTCTGAAATTTCAAAATTAAAGAAAATTTTGCAGCATTTCTCCAATGTTTCCCAATCTTACACGTTACGCTGAAATTCCTCTCCTCAAATCCACACATTAAAACTATGATGATTTACAAAAAAACTAACAAAAATTTTAAAAAATGCATATTTTTTTTAATAATATGTAAATAAATAAAAAATAAAAAGTATATGCCTTTTTTCCCTGCTCTCGACATGAATCTTTTGGAGTGCAGTGCATAGACTGGTCCTCAAGTCTTTTCTTGTCCTTAAACTGCAGGTCCAGCTAAGAGAAGGAGATAAGATTATAAACAGATTTTTAATAATCTCAAACTTCCACCCCAAGTGAACCACCTCAGCCAGCACCAGATTTACCCTTCAAGTGGGACTAAACAATCAGACTGACCCTGTCGAACGTTGAGCTCTGTTCCAGCACACGGTTACTGTTCAACTCGTCTGAACTAGCAGAGAGCGACCTCCGAGTCTCCATCTGTTGTTTGCATTAAGAGTATACGTTCAGAACCTGCTCCAACAAAGACCCCGCAAAAAAAAACGGAGTAAGTCTAAAAAAAAAGATGTACCACATTTAAGCCTTTAAGATCAACTTTCCTCCTCAACCATTTGAGTGATGCTGAAGGCCTCAAATGACGAGCAGCCATCGGATCCGACTGACTGGACTCCGGAGGAAACCTGCAAGGTTTAAAATTAGCTCGTGAAGAGCACCAAACACGCCTAGCCTTTACGCCAGTGATACATCGAAGCCAATTACGATAAAATAAGCTATCACCCAGGTGGCTTAAGAGGGTTGCAAAAAGTTAGACAGTCTGAACAAGGAATGTAGAGAATGGATTAAAAACGAGAAGTAAGCCCAGCCTACCACTGATCTTAATCCTGAGCGTTGGCCTGTGGAGGATGTTTTACTAATTCCTGCAGGAATGCACGAGCGGTGAGATCCAGTCTGCTCTGATGATTTTATTACATTCTTTGAATTCCTCTTAGAACTGGGGTTTTTGTTTSTAGGAGAACAAGCGTGCTACACGAGGCCAAACAGAAAAACCTTCACATCATCATCTGGCACTTCAGCGTAAAACAGACTGTTGTGCTCAAAGATAGAAAAATCTGACTGAATTACCAGCCTTGATGACATTAAAAAGCACTGCGAGTAAACAAAGTCACCTCCTGCCTGTAAAAAGAAAAAAAAATCTAATGAAAACTTCTTATTCAAAACGCATGAGCTCATTTCAAAGTGAGCAACACGTTGTAGTGGCGTGTGATAACCGATAGGTGGCGCTTCAACATCTGACAAACTCCTGAAAACTCAACATGTTGACCAGCAGAAGTTAACAGGGATTGCAGTAATAAAGAACTTCTGAATCGGTTTTTAAAAAATAACTTGTGCTGAAAGTTATAACACAAAAAAATAAAGAAAATACCAAAAAAATAAAACGACTTCTCACCTTCTCTTGCTGGCTCTCAGACACTTCAATAATTTCTTGTTCTAAAACTGAGAAAGTCAAAGTTAAACAAAACGATATCCAAATAAAAATATTCTTTTTTTTAAAGAAAGCATTTCTTGTCATACCTGAATCTTTTTCTTCATCGGGTCTTTCGCGTTCTTCTTCACTGTCCGAGTACCAGACGTTGTTCTCTGCTCCATCATGTGCTTCAGACTGAAGGAGTTTGCTCAGCTTCCTCTCGTACAGGAGCCTAGTGGATGCTGGCAAGGGTGCATTTATACTAAATACTTGGTCCATAACAATTAGACCTATTGACTACAAGGTCAACACCATGTTAAACTACATAACTAAGTACATGTTTAGTTTTAAAACTAAAAGCAGGGTAAAAAAAAACATTACCAACAATGGGTCCAGGTTTAAATCCATATTCGAGTAGCATGGCCTTGAGATCGGCATCAGTCAAACTACTCGGGTCTGGCATCTTTGCAGCTACTAGATCCTCATCATCCTAAAAAAATCAATAAAAAATGCAGCCACAGTTGAGTAAATTCATCAAGATCCTCTTTAAAGTTCTGATCTTAAACCAACAAAAAAAAATATTAGGTGCTAGCAGAAAAAGTCACATTTGTGGTGTTATGAAACAATATGGAAGAAACGCTACATTTGTTGATAAATGTTTTGGCTGATTTATTGGCTAAGACCAAGAGGAGATTTATGAATGCAGTTAGAGAAGACAGAGTGAAATGGAGGAGGAAGTCTGTGGTGACCCCTGAAGAAAACAGAAGATGCCGACGGCTATTTCCAACTCAAATAACGTATAATGTCATGGGTGCATACGGTTCATACTAAACTTATTAATACTTTAATTGATCAAGTGTAATATAGTTTCTAGAGAACATCACAACCAACCATCAAGACTTGTTTGACTTGAACATTTTCACACTTTAGTCACGTCAAAACACTAAAATGAGTTCTTGATGTCTCCGTTAAGAATCCTTTCATAAATACGGAGACAACTTTGTGTTCACAGACTTCTAATCCTTAGATCTTTACCTTATGTTAATAATCTCAAGGTCCCTTCTGCAAAATAGTCATTGAGTCCATCGTGGAAAGTAGATGATGGGATGAGCTTGGTAAAGTGTAGCCTACTGTCATCATGAGGTGACAAAGCTAGCATAAACTTTTTTTTAAATTCCAAGTTAGCTGTAGTCAGTATCTGTTTACAGTAATGGGACATTTGGTCCAATTTCTAGCATGAGTTTTAAAAACATACAAAACTTATTGTTTGCCCTCTGACAGCTCTCAATTATATGTGTCAGTGTTTGAAAACATGACTGGTTAAAGCACTTTTTTTTWATTGCTGTAGTAAAACTGACAAAAATGGAAAATATTTAATGAAAATCAATTTACTTCAAAAGAAGCCATTCAAAGTGAGATCTGTAAATCAATAACTGATAATAATGGACTATTGGTTTGTTTGTAGCACAATTTGTAAACATATTGTGCTGAGGTTTTCCTGCAACATGACAGGAATAACTTTCAGACTTTCATTATGAGTGGAGCTCCTCTTACATGCATAAATAACCGAGAGAGGCAGGTGTGCATGTCTAGAACATGGGCTAAGTACAGAAGCATGTAAACCTATACAACTCAGTGTACAGGACTTATTTGTGCCCCAGGAGGATTGTGACCCAGTTCTTCCTTTTAGGGGGGAGGTTCATTTAAACGAACAGATCCTTATTATCAGTACATAAACCAGTGGAAATATACTAATTGACTTTTCCCTTCAAACATGTAAGAAAACCATTAGACTGATCGACTCACTGCCACATGTATTTGCTCATCATCATCATCATCATCATCATCATCGTCGTCGTCATCACTGGAAAAATCCGCAGCTTTAGTATGTCTTAAGTGCAGCTCGACATTGTGATCGACTAAATCTGACTTCTGGCGAGATTTAGAGAGATGAGGAGAGTCCTGCTTCACAAATGGCATATCACAGGAACGACAGCGAGAATAAAAGCCCTTCGGTTAGAAGCAGAGCTGCACAGGACGTCCACGCTGCCTGCTCCTGAATCGAGAAGGTGCTATCTGCAGAATCAACGTGGGCGTGTCACAAGAGTGGGCGTGTCAAAAGCACAAACACTGTGGGCTACGAGGCCTACATGACGGTATCCTTAGACCCTGCTTGACATCTATAGAGCCTGACCCTAACCCCAACCTAAGGTTAACCAGGAGAAATGTGACTAAAGTAGGGTTCTCCTGAAAAAGTGGTGCCGTGCAGTAACGCCCCTTTTGTTCTTGTCCAATCAAGTGGTGCCGTACGGTATCGCCCCTTTTTTGCTTGTCCAGTCAGGTGTGTCCCTTTGACAAAGGCCGTCTAATCAGGTGTGTCACTTTAGAATCGCCTTTCCTTATGACACGCCCACTTGTCCGCAGATACCCCTGTTTGGCTGAATCACACGCAGGATTGAGAACAGCTGCGACGGAGGGCTTGATTGACAGGAAGTAAGCTAACTTCCCTTAGCTTGATTTAGCTGACGCAGCTAATTAGCTGAATAACGTGCAGGTCTTTTCTTTTAGGCTTTACCCACTTCTTAAATAAATTAAATGAACATATGTAAGTGTTGCTATGGTTGGTGCTTCAGCTAATCAGTTTCAAATAAATAAATAAATAAATAAATAAAT